ATATCAAGATAAAACATCACCAGTTTTTAAGTTAAGCTTTCAAGAATACAACTATGCAAACCGCATTCAATTTGGTGCAGTAGTTTTTTGTGATTTCGGATCAAACATACAGATGGACAGATAGACAAAAGCTCAAAAAAGAAATATTATTGTGGCTTCTATTAAAACTCCTCACAACATTTTTTCTAAAATATCCTCTATGTACAAACGACGTCCAATTTACTAGGTATATTAGTAAAATTGTGGAGATGTACCTACAAGCTAAAAATAAAATATATTTACAGGGCAAGAAGTTTATTTGATATTATCATCATCATCATACCAGCCGTTAACTGTCCATTGCTAAAGATGAGCCTCCCTTTAGCATGATAGATCATTGCCATAAGGCGAGTTTTGCCAGTAGTTGCCATGCTTGGCAAGCAGTTCTCTTAGCTATCTCTTACGACATACACGGGAACAAAAGAGGTTGCCCATTCTATGCCGGGACCACACGGCATCCCTTTAATCTCTTAAAAGGATAAGACCAATCTGTAAGTATATCCTTTCAGATAAAAAGGAATTTTCCAAATCAGTTTGCAACTGACGGAGTGAATGACGTAACAAACATAAAAAATACAACCGAATTGAGATCCGCCTTCTTTTTGAAGTCGGTTAAAAATTACTTTAAAAAAATATTAATGATGTTCTTTTCACTCTGTATAAAATTTTAAAAGTAGAGAAAGATTATGCGCTTGAAATCGCCACCTTCATTTTGTCCACACTCACTAATTAAAGTTACTAGTTAAGATTGTTTGAGTACCTATTTATTTCAGATATAGTTATATAGAGGTTTTCTCCCGAGGGTGAGTGAGGTATATATGTGTCACATGACGTCATTATGTCATGGTCATATGACATAGGCGCATACCTAGCTAACATTTAGTTTTCCTATTAGTTTTTGCAGGTAACATTTCTCTTAATTTAATTCACAAAATGGGAACCACATTTCAGGATTACCTACATGCCTGATTAAACGTAATTCTATTATTATCTTTAACCATATTTACTACCATTAGCCTCCTAAAACACAGCAATTTAAATCGTAATATAATTACCTAATATGGTAAACGAAAACAAGTGTAAAATACCTAATCCTATTGACTGCGAAATAATTTATCAAAATAGAATTGACAAAGATGTCACGTAAACCTCCATCTTTTTGAAGTACATAACTTCATTAAGTCGGTCTCTCGAATTTCTGGGATTATCATAGGACACAAAATCCTTAATATTTACAGGCACTTACTATAGATATATATATTGAGGTGTTATACGTGTTTACCGAGGAAAAACGTATTAATCATTCTTACATCCTTAACATATCCTGAGAAAAATATACCAAAGAAAATATTTCAAAAATTCTTTATTTTTCTGCCTAAAAGTCACTATTTATTTCGAGTGATAAACTACACATAGCCTAAACCATAAATTTGGAAAATCTAAATCTGTAAGTACAAAATTAAACAAAGAAGTAACTTGATTATAGCATACATAAGAAGTTAAGAACAAAAGGGGAATTTTCTGATATTACCATGGGAACGGTAAGTATAGGCCTGGATTTCAAAGGGTTCGTTCCATAAAGTTTTCTACGAGAATTTCTACGAGAATACGAAATCATTAGAATTCGTTTCTTATCGATTTTCGATCCTTGTTTAAAGAAACATGGATCGAAAATCGATAAAAATTAAAGATTTTTTTCAGTTCTACATCTCTCCCTTAAAAATATAGTAATATATTCGATTTCACCCTGCATACATTTTTAAAACAAAAAAAAAAAAAAAACAATTACGTGCATAATTTAACGATAAGCAAAACTTGAAATGTATGTACGTATCTATTACTACATACATTTAATAATAAATACGTTTTAAAATTACCTAATTAAAAGTTCATAATAGAATTCTTTTTTACTTGAAACGTAACAAAATGAGTACTTATGTATTCAGATAAAAGTAGGTAATGATCGCACGTCATAAAATGTCCTGCCGTTGACAATAATGGCCTGCTATTTTTAACTTGTCATTGCGTTTAGCGAAGCATTAACTTCACGTCTAGCGACACAGTAATATTTTTTTTTAACAAAATATCCACAGCTACCCCTGTATACGAGTATAAAGTAAGATAACTTTATGATAGGTTATTATTTTTTAATAATGTACAACACATTTTAATCGTTAATAACGTAACTTTATATTGATGAAAGAAGTTTCAAAATCAAAGATTAAGTATTTTTCAGTTAAACGATTTAACGCTTACAAACGATTAGAAGCAAAAAATCAATTTTATTCTGTTCATAATATTAGTTCAGGTGATTATAATTAGAATAGGTAACTAACCATTGCAGCACATGAAATAGAATTTTCTATTTAAATTACATACCAATATTGTACCTAAGATTTTGCAATTGCATGTGGTTGAAATTATATGGCTTTGAAAAATACTAGCGACCTACCTTTTTGAGACGAGTATAAAATTACTTTGACATGCCCTAATTTTCAAACACCTCTTCAATTAGGAATAAACCTTTTAAATAAAATATAATGATCATAATCGGTTCACCAGTGACGACGTTGATCCATGATACACATGCATGTACTATAAAAATTAAAACTAGGTTATTTATCCTTTTGCATGTAAACTTACTTACACTACACTTACATAAACAGAATAATTAGATTGTGTTCCACGAAAAATACCGACTTTTGTGACGAAATCACTTATTTTGGTTTAAAAACTAAACTACAGATAAAAAAAGAATTCTCCAAATCAGTTTACAACTGACGGAGTTATGAACTAACAAACAAAAAAAATACAACCGAATTGAGAGCTTTCCTTTCATTTTGAAATCGGTTGAAAAATACGGTCTAATTGAAAGCTTTCTTTTTTTAACTCGGTTAACATGATAAGAATGGTTTTATGAACATTTAGTCATTATTGCGCTAAAAATATGAAAGATTTTATGAGACACTTTATAGTAGGTATCTGTTCTCATATTAACTTATAGTTAAGTATCTACTTAACGAGTACAATAACTACAAACATAATAATGTGTATTGATTAACTATATAATATATAATAATAATCGTTTTTGTTAATAGATGACATTGGAATGGTAATCCCGCCTGCGCTAATAGTATTCGCTGGCAGACACCAGTGAGGGATGACATGTGAAAATGAAAAGGCAGGTCAGTTATCCCGTCGTGATGAATACACCTGGAATTGAACACGATGGTTTCCAGGGAGGACCACGTGGAGATCGACCTGACAAGGTATACTGCTAGCAATGGAACTGGCAGTCCGCATTACTAACAATCCCTTTCCCCCCTATAAAAGTCGGTTGCCGAATGTACTCGTATGTAAGCACATCACTTCAGAACAGTAACAGCTCCTTGGATAATCCTTTTTGTTGTAAGTGTCAGGATATGGTTTGTATGAAATAAAATGTTTGAAAAAACATACGGAAAAGGTCCAAAATGTAGATTAAAACGTCTCCATATAAAAAAATGAAAGTTGTACTGAAAGATTTGATCTCATTTTTTTCATTAGTACACTCGTGCGACGGCGGTGGATAGGTAGTTTACAATATATCGTCATAGTCGTAGAATACTGACGGATCTGACAAATAATACATATATCGTCATAGTCATAGAATACTGACGGATCTGACGAATATTACATATAAAGATCCGTCAGTATTCTACGACTATGACGATATATATGTAACTTGTTGAGTTTGATAATAACTCCTGACACTTCTAGTTAGTGATTATAATAGTTTGTAAATTATAAGTATTATTACTAATATTATTCACTTCTTTATTTAAACTTTAATGCACAGTTAATAAAATAAGTTCTATGTATATTTGGTGGACCTAACACAAGACGGTGTGCTCTATAACCATCGGGCAAACCGAAAAATAAGTAGACGGTGCATTATTGAATTGAAGAAATATAAATATATCAATTTGTCTTTTGCTAGATATGTCTTCATTTCAATGCCTAAATAGGTTTCAAAGGTAAAATTATTATTATTAATTTATTGATGGTCGTAATAGTCAATTTTCTAACACAACGCCTGCTTTTATCGAATCTAAGATGAATTAAGTAAAAAAATATATATATATAAATGCACAGAACTAGAAAACTTATTATTAGACATTATGATGCAAAGAGGAAACAATTGTAGCGGAGATGAGGGGTTTCCGCCGCGAAGCGCGTAGGTCTGAGCCTATAGATAATAGAACTATAAATTGGATGAACTATAAGTTTAAACTATAATTTCATACGACATTTATAAATCAAATAATTAATAAATATGTTACACAAAAAACTGACTTAAATCGTGTCATAACCAGTTTTTTTTTTTTTATTTAAAAACTAAATTATTTACATTTGATAAAATTATCTGAGGTAACAACATAAATATATTCTTTCAGCTAAAAAAACCTTTCCATTTTTTTAAATCAGTTAAAAAAATATTATATAAATAATTATTATAAATTATATATAATTAGTAAATTTTATATAAATAATTCATATAGTCTATATGAATTATTTATATAAAATTTATTATTAATATTTATATAGGATTATATTTTATCGAGGCAAGTTTTTTTTTTATATAGCTGAGTGGCAAACAAGCATACAGTCCACCTGATGGTAAGTTTAATAAACTTTTGTTTTTTTCAACACTATCGCGATATATTTATTCCATAGCTATCTCATAGTAAATGGTTATGAAATTCAACTTTGTAGGCCACAGACCTTTAGTTTTTTTTTCATCCATCTGCCTAATTCAAACCTTTAAAACTTAAAGTTGCAAAATTAAACCTCTTTCATGTAGGTACATTCATCCTACATTACGAGACTGTACTAGGGATATATCAAAGGAATAACAGGTGAAAAGGATGATTTAACTAAAGTTGTAAACTCATTATAACTTTATATCGCACTCTACTTACCCGCAGCTGGGTCTTGTTCCTGAAACAAACAAAATAAACAATTTAACAACACTTCAAATTCCTTTACGTACACATTTAAAATTCAAGTACTGGCTTTAAGCAGGCAATTTATAACACACAAAAATAAATTTTGCCATGTTTATGATATGGTTTGTCGGAAAACACGATTGACTTATATTTATTTACATAGATATATAAATATGCTATTATTTCTAAATCTACAATACATAAAATAATTAATAATCCATTAGAGAAAATCGTGCTGATAATAGTGTGTTATATGAATACAATGCAAGAGTCATCACGCTACTTGAGAAAATACTTATAAACATGAATTGTATACCTATTTCAAGAGAAATAATTGAAAAGACAATGAAATTTATTAGAAACGAAATCTGCCACATAATAAAGATTCTATGTATTTTATTGAAGATAAAATTGGATAGGCTACAAAGCAATTTCCTGTTAATATAACGATTATCAAAGCAATTTCACGACCCCAAAGGTTCTTTGATATCCCTGTTTGAACCGAACAATTTAAATCAATTAATTAAATTGTTTAGAACTTTAAACTTGTACAACTAATGAACTGTAAAACGAAATCAATAGGATTAGATATAGTTGGTACTTTGCCAATGTCGCGAAATCTAGACTGTTGACCTAAATGACTATCGATCAAACAATATGTGTTTTTTATCAGATAAATGTTACTTGATTGGTCTCTATTATCTCGTTAACATCAATATAGTATCAAAACAGACAGATATTTAGGAAGATAATCAATAAAATATAGATAAAAAAGTTTGCTAAATGATGAATAAATTAAATGAAGGCAAAATACGTCTCGACAGCTTGTTCAGTAGTCAAACAAATTTATGAGCTACCAAAACTTTGTTATCTCTGGTTTTTATTGAGATTGAGGTAAAGATACGACTCACCATTACAAAGATAAAATGTTAATATATCGATTCTTTGTAGCTACTGAAAATGAGCATGAATGATCATAAATTAAGAATAGTACCTATATGAATGATAAATAGTAACTCATCATTTTGAAGTTCAAATAATGATGAAGAGCATGCAATTCAGATTAATTTTTAATCGTGTGTCAAAGATATACTCAATGATGGTACAGCGTACTATGTCGAAGAAGCCGATATTTGCAATCTACAGCGGTAATACAGCACTTTTAACACTTACCGCCCTATCAATCAATCCATTTGTTCCTTACTTGGAAAAATATACATTGATACTTACGAATTTACTTCTGTCTTTCTCTTTATGTTTAAGTTCTGCCTCTTTTTTTGCTTGCTGAATGAGTTGGTCTACAAACTCAGTGGCCTCGCGCAGTTTATCTGGATCACTCTTGAATGCGGCTATTCGTTCAGCCAACGCTGAGGCATCGCTGTCTTGTATCATTTTGAGTTAATAATAATCCGTGTCCAAAAGTACAGGTGCAAAGCGGTCACAATAATAAAGTCGTTTGTTTCACAAAACTAAAATTAAATAAATCACTATAAATGTGTGTACGCTAATGTTTTTCCATCGGCCATAACTCGGACAGAGGGTTTGTTTCCCTTTATTTAAAATTGAAGGGTGCTCGCAAGGTCTCGGGGGTGATGTCAGTCATTATTGTTGCAGGCCCTGTGTGAGTGTAGGTATGTAACGACAGGCGCGTGGAGACGACAGAATGCGCGGAGGTACTGTGCCCGGTACAGCGACGCTCGGCTTTCGACGCTCGGTCATGCGCCGACTGGCGATAGGCGTCGGTACTCGGTAAGTACGCGACTTTACTCCAAAGATTAGACTCAATCATAATCTATGAACGATCTCTAGACATTGTCTGAATCAGTTACTTATCTATAGTATCTGCACATTTCAAAGAGCCTTGCGAATTTGAATACAATTTGATCCATCGCCTTCTTTTCAAAACACCACCAACAAAAGCATTCTCTACACTCATGTACTATTGTATAACACGTACCTAACTACTTCTTATTTAATTCAGTAATATTTAGAAGCTTTATTTACATTACAATTTAACTAGAAATAAATAATACGTGCATCTATCCAATTTAAACGATTTTTAATTAATTAAATTAAATATTTCTTTATTACTTAAAAATTAATTTATATAAATTTAATTGCGCCTTAGTCGAATATGAGTTGTGACGTTTGATGCCAAAACCAAAGACAAAATTATGTTTGGGTTACGAGAAAATCAAATCGTTTATATACTTTGTATTATATTGAAATTTTTACAAATGTTCAAGTAACATCAATCACTTGATTTATCAGACAGAGAATTATAAATTATTTATGTATCTACTTTCATCTCATATCCACCGTTCCAACTCACCTTATTTTGATTTGTTTTTTTTTTTCAGGATCGTCAATACGCAGGTTTATCCTCAAACACTACGACTGTATGGAGCACACTGCTAACCGTATAAGAAGTGAGGATACTCCAAGTCATTCAGCGAGCTGTAGGAGGACTAGGTATTCTCGGAGTTTTACTACGTAGTAGAGTCCGAAACGTGGATATTTACGAAAGAACTAGAGACGGATCCCTAAGGATCTACAGACTTAAATGACGTTGAGCCCACTATATAGTTTAAGCAACTAATAATTGATGGGGAAGAAAGATACTTGAGTAATAATCCTTTGCAAGCAAACGTAGTGTGAAGCGAATCCCACGAGTAGTACTTACCTAAAGATAACCTTAAAATATTACAAGGAGCTGACGCAAGTGCCGCGAGGTCTTTTGTACTTTGTGTCGAAATGTTATATGAAAAAGACTTATGTTAGTTAGTGAACAAGAAGTGTATATGATATATATATATATATATATATATATATATATATATATATATATATTCCATATTATATAATATTGTCATATATATATATTATATATATATCTGTAAGTTTACATTATCCTAGTCATTATTTTATAATAAACTAACTTTATCTTTCTAGCTAAAACTAGCTTAAACAATATTTTTTTAGAAATTTTTAGAATGTCTGTCTATCTGTCTGTACATTTTCTCCAATGTCACATAAAAACTACTACACTTAATTGGATTTAGTTTTCACAATTGTATTCCTGAAGATCTTATTTAAAATCTGGTATATGTTTTATCGTTATACATGGTAAGTGGTTTATTTACGTACAAAGTAGCGAGCAAAAAAATACTAGTAAGAAATAAAAAATATGAAAACGATTTTACCAAAAATACATATCAAACTTTCCTGTTTACAACTCTAGCTACAGCAAGTTTTGTCCTCCTTACTCGTACATTGTTCTTCACTTGAATAAGTATTTGACTGTAAAATATTTACATACTTTTGTTTCTATAATCTCTTTTACTAACTTCGTATAAGTACGCAATAAACAATATTGATTTTTTATCAAAGAAACAATGCATATAATAAATAAATAGTTAAAATAGAAAGTATTTATAAATAACAATTATATATTTTGCACATATAAAAAAACAGTTACTTCAATCGTTTTGTTGATGCAATAATTGTTAGTATTTGATAAAATTTTTGTAAGTGATCTTACTTATAAATACTTACTACAATCGTGACAAAAGAGACGGATAAACAATTAAGTATTTAAAATTAATTTATTTTAAAACTCAGAATCTTATCTACAAATAGATTTTGCTTCATAGACACGTCTTTTACTCTGTATAAAAAAACGGAAGCAAAATTAACATATAACCAACACCACATGGATTAAAAAAAATATATGAATCATTTTATAGTTAATGACAAAAAAATGACGAATTAAGAATCTCCTCCTTTAGAAAATTGTCCTAAAATACATAGACTAAACCAAATTGATAGAAATGATGGACTATAAATTGGAAAGGTACCTGCTTACGTTTCAACCATGAAGTTCTTGGTGATATATTGGCGTAATCTACTAACTAACAATAGGTATCATCTATTGATTTATGAGGTTATAAATTAGTGGTAATCACCACGCAAGTACTTACAATTCGAAGATTCCTATAGATACAGAAATTATAAATGCATATATCTTTACGTATAAGGTCCCACCTTTTTATATATAGACTTAGAGAGTTTTGAAGTTTTATAAATTCCTTATTAAACCTAATATATTATGCCTTTGGGTACTTTGTCTCATTTATAATTAAATGTTTATTAATAAAAGTTTCGTAGCACAAAATACTTTATTTTTAATCATGGCTTAGTATATATATAGATATAAAATTCCAGAATGTATCCATATTTTCCAGCTACTTCATATTATTAACACAGAAAATAACAGTTACCTACCTTACCTTTCAGGTGCCAAGTGCCCATGAGATCTTTCGCGTGACCGGGGTAAAAAGTAGGTTGTGTCCTTCTCCATTCCAAATTGGTACTATGTTCATGCCAAACTTCATAACGATTCGAATAGGTAACAAATAAACTCAATTTTTTATTTATAACTCTACGTTGTATACTATAATCTAATGGTACCCTAATACCCTGTTTTACCGATAGTTGACCAATTTTCATAACATCCCTTCGTATAAAATTCCACGAAAGACTTCAATAACGATTTAATATTAAATACCTACATACAGAGCTTTAAAAAAAGTATGCCTGTTTATAAAAAAAAGAAGTACTATTAATTTTATTTATTTTTTTATTTATAGACTACTTTTGTTGTGTAGATTGCAGGTATATATGGTAATAAAATTACAAAGTATGGAGTCAGAACACGTTAAACCACAGGAATAATCGCCATGAAGGGTGTCACAATATCTCATAATATCCCGGTTGACGTGAGGCAGGCGGCCGGTCATAAAACTATAAGTCAAATCTTTTTATAATGTGGATAAAAAACATATTACGCAGATAATAATAATAATTAGGATAAGGATAGGAAGACGATGATGATGATGATCCTTCATAGTGTTATGTCTTCATCTGTCTCCGTAAAAAAAGAATGTGATAATAGTTTGTGATACTAAAAAAGTACTGTGATAATCTATGATATTCATAGTGTCGTTCAAATGTATAGGCGACGGTTATTGCTTTTTATTAAATAGGTAAATAAGTTTGTTTGTTATTATATGTTTAAAAAAAATATATGAAGTGATGGAAAAACTACAGCCGCGGACAAAGGCTAACTAAGCTTAGCTCTCGGAACGAACCACGGCTTACAGTTCATTAAACACAACCTCGTCCATTGACTAAAAGCCTTTGGGAAATCAATTAATACCTACCGAGAGAGAGAGATGAATATTTTGAACAACGCTTTGCTAGTTATACTTAATAGATATTTTTTCAGTAATTATTTTGTACTAGCTTTTACCTGCTACTTTGTCCGCGTCACCGAGATATATTTACTGGCCAGGATAAAAAGTAGCTTATATTCTTATCCATCCATTATAGTACGTATATACCAAATATAGTTATTGATTAAACCGATAAGGTAACAGAATCACTTTTAGATTAACATAACTCCTTAGTCCTCAGGAATGACAATGCATGAAGGGTATCATGAGTGAAAGAGTATACTCTGTTATGTCCATGTCTGTTCATGTCTATAGGCGACAATTACCACTTTTCATCAGGTAGGTCGTCGGCTTGTTTGCTTTTCTAAATTGCATAAAAAATAAAAAGTGAGCCTAGAAACTCAAAGTGTACCTTCGCTGAAATAGTGCCTAGTTACTTAATTTGTTGAAAATAATACGTATTTTAACTAGACATATCGAATCAACTACATAATTATAAGTAGGTAAACGAAGTAAAATTAATAGTAGATAGGAATTTTATAACAACGAATATAGATAAATTCTCAAATATTCTGTTTGGGAAATATACCTATAAAAAATAACTCAATGAAAATAGCAAGGTCCCAGTTTACCAATTCCAATTTCAATAAACTAAACATACACGTGAGGCCTCTTTAATATATAGGGTTGTCTATAAAAAAAAATATGTTACAATATTTTTTGAAAAATATAATCGCAATTTTTCCTTTTGTAAAAAAAAAGTTGATCGAAAATTGTTATCATAAAATGTGTTATAAAAAAAAAAATATGCTCACGACTATATTTGTAACGGGATAATCAAAGGCATATATCGCCTGGCGTCGCTGTGTGGTAAATGTAATACTCAACATAAGTATTATTATTCATAATTATAATTTATTAATGAAATAGAAATAAAAAATAGAAACATTTATGTATATATATAATATAAAAAGTATTTTATAATAATAAGTATTTTATTTTTAAAATTTTTTCCGTAGGCGTTGAATAGCCACTGCTTTAGCTTTGCGGATGAGCTGTTCACTATTAAGATTCGAAGCCTCGTCACTGCTAGTACATGAATACTCACACGCATCGTTAAATTGTTCGTCTTTACCATGGTCGCTATGCATTGCTTGTGGATCACTTTCACACCTAATCAAGTGACGGCGATTTCGCCTATACCTGGCACCGACACTATTTTTGACAATGTAAGAACGAGGAGTGTCCGCGCGCCCCACTATCTTTCCTCTGCTCCTAATCTTTCCATCTATACAGATTACTGAGTCACCTTCTCTTAACATAGGAAGAGTTTTACTGTGCTGATCATAGTACATTTTATTGTTATTTTGTTTATGTAACATAGTTTGGTACTCAGAAGGATCGACAGGTTTTGGTTTTAACAGATTTTCATGTACTGGCAATTGACAACGCAAC